AAGCCAAATGCATTAGGTGAGAAACTGAACATGAGGAAATTTGACAATAGGGAATCTTCATTTGCATCTACCCAGCACACTGTTCCTCTCTTTTGTGCAGTGCTAGAACATTTTGTTCGTTATCCAGCTATTAATCTTACCTCCACAGCATATTGTGCTTTATCTCTGTATTGCAGCATCCTACAAAAATACTGATACCCTTAAATATTTAGAATAAAGATACTGTAATTAACTGCAGGGTGTATGTTACATGACACCAAAAGGTAGATTAGCTCAGAAATGGGAGAACACAAATGATTTCTCTCATTTTATACTACAAACCTCTTGTTTAATTTAATCTTTAAACCTGCTGCAGCTTTTTATTGCATTGTGCCTGGCTCCTTGTGATCAGACCTGAGGAAAAATGTCTTGTATTTGAAAGCTTGTCTAACTTTATCCCAGCTACATAGTTGGTCCAATAAAAGGTATCAACCTAAGAAATTCTTGCCCCTCACATCTTTAAACCTAGATACTAACAGTTACATTTATTTTATTTCCTCAAAAACTTTAATCCTTAACAAGAGCAAAATATGCTAAACTGCTGATCATCTCAACCTTACACTGATATTGATAACTTACACGCGTCTTACTCATTTTAAATGAGGATTGCCTCTGGTGGCTTGCGTCATGCTTTGTATGACATTCAGATCTGGAACCTGGCACTGATTTTTTTCTACTCACAGCATCTCTCTGGACCAGCCAATTCATTTTACACTTATTTTTCTAAATTAAACCTCTACAATTTCAGCCCAATTCACTTGATTCAGTTCTTCCAAGCATGGGAATAGTTTAGATATAATGCAATTTCAAACTGCTGCGAGTTTTTGACTGGAAATGAGAACCAGATAGATCATTTTAAGAGTATAAGCAGCATTTGCAAACAGAATTCACCAGCCTTGATGAACTTCAGTGAAACCTGGGCTCAAGTGCCCAAACTATTTTTGAAAAGTGAAGTCACTCAAAGTAACTGGTGCTTTTCAGAGTGATGTCGTTGGCATTCAACAATAGATCGTTGTGAAGTTTCATTTAAAATGATTGGATTGTAATCAGCATAACAACATCTTAGCATTATCCAAAATAATGAAAATAATACTTCAAAAAATAGTTACAATACCAGCAATTGGAAGCTGACTTGAGATCTGCTACTTTAATAGGTGATTAAACAAGTGCTTTACACTAATATGGAACTATATGAAATATCTAACTTGGGCAAGACAACAGCTCCATGAATCCAGAATATTTGCAGATTACTAAATCTCCACATAATTTAAAAAGGTCAGTGCAGTTAGATTTCCAAATGAAGGAAAAAAACAAGATAATTTCAATCATGAAATGCTGGCAGGGTAGGAAAACACATAAACTTCACCCTAAAGATCACAGAGTGCAAAATAAAGCCAAAATTAAACAAGACGCATGCACAGAATCATAAAAAATTAGGGCTGGAAGGGCTCTCAGGAGGTCATCTAGTCCACTGTTTCTCTGCTCATGGGTCACAACCCAAAAGTGGGTTGCAAGAATATATGAAAGAGTTGTGAGCAAGTCCCAGAAAAATGCAGAAAAGCATGGATTTCCCCTTGCAGGCTGGCAGCACTCCAGCCTGTAGGGAGATGCTTGGGGCAACTGAAGGCAGTGGGCACATGTGTGTGTCTGCATGCGCCCATGCACATTGCTGGCATGCAGCCAGGCAGGGTTGCAGGAGCATTTGATGACCAGGGATCCTGGTTTTCCCTGATAAAAGATCACAAATACTCTGATAAAACCCCAAAATCCATGATTACAATGAAAGGTTCCTCACTCTCCCCTACAGTGCCCCCTGGCACCCCTCACTCCCCACCCACAGCCCCCCCAACACCCTGCTGGTGCTCGTCACTCCCCAATAACAGCCCCCTGGCCCTGCTAGTGCCCCTCACTTCCCACCCACAGTCCTGCTGGTGCCTGTCACCCCACATGCTCAGTCCCCTACCCCTGCTGGTACCCCTCAATCCACCCCCAGAGCCCCCTGGCCCTGCTGGTGTCCCCCACCCCCCTAACAGTCCCCCCATATCTGCTGGTGCACCTTGCCCCCCCCTGCAGCCCCATCCCACTCCCAACTGCCTTGCAGCCATGCATTGCAGCCCTAAACCCCATGCACTGCCCGGCTGAGCAGCAGCCCAAGCCCCAGCCTTGCCCAAACTCCCGCCCTCCCTATGGGGGCTGAATCCCTCTCCCCCGCAACTTACCTGCAGGAGCTGCTCTCCAGGCTGCCTGGCATCCATGTGCATATATGAGCACATGGTGCCCCTTGCCTCACTGCCCTCTTCCGGCTCCCTCTCAGCCCCTTACAGGCTGGAGCTCTGCCAGCCTGCAGAGAGCTGTTTGCAAAACTTCAAAATCTGCAGGTTTTTCTGATAAAATGAGAAATCTGCATTTTCCTCCAGTAAAGGATAAAATCCATGTTTTTCTCCATTTTTCTATGGGAAACAGAAAACCCAGATCCCTGGTGATAGGTCTCTCCTCCTGATTTACTTTTATTTTGCTTTAGTGGTTCCCTTGATCTCTCAGGGATGACTCCTCAAAAAACTTCCGTTTGTCCTGGTTGCTAATCAGTTTCTTGATGCATCCCAAACTTAGTAATTCATTCAAATTGGAACTTTCTGATAAACAATAATGAACAGTTTTATTAACAGGATTTTCCTGCCGACTACTGCTTGGAACCCTCTCTTGATTTACACAACTACAACAATGCTTTGAAGATGCTGAGCTAAAGGGTATAAGAAGAGGAACAAAACAGCTAACAGGGCACACTTCAAAAATGAAAGATCCTTCTGACAAGAACTGCTGCTGCATCCAGCCTTCTTCTTAGTGAGAGGATCCACACCTGGAGAAGCTGCCAAGAAAACAGACCACCTCTCTGTTGCCTGTTTGGTGAGCAATTATCAACTGATAGCTAAATACTAGACTTTGGTTTGGGGTCATTTAACCTGAATACTTTGAGTAAAAATAAAGCCTCTCTGTCACTTTCCAAATGAGGTGTCATGTCAATCCCTTAATACTAGTCCAGAATCCTATTTTATTACTTAACAGCAGCCCCAGCAGCTGAATGCAGATAAGTCTATGAGGAGTGGGGGTTGGAGGTCTAGGGCTTGGGACTGTCCAGGAAGGAGCGAGAGCGAGCGAGCGTGCGTGGGCAAGTGTCTGCTGGCACTGAGGGAAAGTGGCCAGGTGCCAAGGCTGCATCAGGGCAGGAGGGGTGGAACGTGACAGTACCAGCCCAGGCCAAGGGGGGTGCCACAGTCCTCCCCTCCTCCTGTATAGCCTGCACTAGGGCCAGACTTGCTCTGTTGCATGAGCCAGAGCCACTGCAGCCACTCCACTCTGACCTGAGCTGGTAGGGCAGGGGGCTGTGAGTTGGGAGGGGCACCAGCATTCTTGGGGGAAGGGCAGGGGCATCAGCAGGGTCAGGGGCCTGTGGGCCAGGAGGAATGAGGGGCACTGGCAGGGTCAGGGGCCTGTGGGTCAGAACTGGCCACTGATGTTTACAAACAAGTCCTGGTACAAAAAAAGTTGAGAACCACTGATATAGTTCAAGCCCCCTGCTCAAAAGTAGGACCATCCCCAAATACATCATGCCATCCAAGGCTTTGTCTAGCCAGGCTTTAAAAACCTCTAAGGATGGAGATTCCACAATCTCTCTAGGCAGCTTGTTCCAATGCTTTACTACTCTCCTAATGAAAACGTTTTTTCTAATATCCAACCTAAACTTCCCTTGCTGCAACTTCGGATCATTGCTCCTCGTGCTGTCATCTGCCACCACTGAGAGATAACAGGGAGATCCAGATAACAGCAGTTACTTAGAATGCAGGTTTAGGTTTCGTTTTTAAATCTGAATGGTGAATTAATTTCTTTACTGAAGAGGATCTGGACAGGTGAACTTCAGAAAAGATAAATGTTGTTGCATCACCCTTATAAAAAGAAGGGATTTATATAAGGAAGAGTACTGAGAGGTGGAACAGGTTTTAAGGAGGAGGAAACAGCATCGAAGATGGCATGAAAATAAGAGAAAGGGTATATAAGAATTGCTGAGGCAGTAATGAATGGTGCAAAAAGAGTAAATAGAAATGTTATCAAACATTGTTACTCAACTTCTATGCTTCAGCAGTCAAAGGATAGCTCAAACTCTTAGAATCTTAGTTATAAAACTCACCAAGTAAATGAAGTAAAGTCAAATTTTTGGAACTGAAGCTCCTCTTTACTACTGGTATTTATGCATGTATGAAACTGTCTTATGAACATTTCATATTACCTAATCTGAATTAGGCAATTATTCACATCTGACATCTGAACAGCAATTACATTAAATACTGTTTCAATTTAAGAAGTATCAAGGATTGTACAGCTATTTAAATCACATTAACACTATATAAATGCAAACAATGGAAAAAGCTTCCCAATTTAAAAACAATCTTCGTCTTCCAGGCATGCAGATGTCTTCCTGATGTTTCTCCCTTGGCCCTGTCCATCAACATATTCTCTTTTGGTGTAATAATCAATTAACATTTAAGTCATTTTGGAGAAGGAAAAAATGTGTTTCAACTAGCTATATGCACATCTCTGTAAAAGCAACTAAGATAATTTTTTCAAGATGTATGGCATTGCTCACCACTTTTCAGACACTTACTACATTAAACTCACGACAAGAACCTATCCATAAGTTTTTTTGGGACAGCATGCCACACAATATGCAACACAATTTTAAAATCTTGACTGATGCAACATGTGTTTTCAGGAGGCATGTAATCAGAACTATTTTCCCTACTTCCTATCATGGGAAGAGTTTTCCTGCAGATGAGACAGATTTTGATGAAAAAATTCAATGAAGAAAGTTTTCATATTAAATTAAAAACCGAGATTCTTTTTATGACTAAAAATGATGTATTTCTGGTGAAACTAACTGCACTGTAAAGGATGCCTGTGTATCTTACCATCCATTCAGATATAATAATGTCCACTTTTTCAATTGGTAGGTCTACTTCTTCAATTCTTCCTTTGATTAGGGTAACAGTATCTTCAAGTTTATTCAACCTACAATTTAAATTTACAAGTTGAAGTTACAATTTAACAAGTTATATAATTCCATACCTTTTGCTTACAAGTAAATGTCTGTTAAAAAAACAACAAATTTGACTGAGGAAAAGAAAATTATGCTAAATGTTTGCATTTTGCTGTTTCCTTTCTAAATATTAAGTCATTGTTTTCTACTATACAGTAAAAAGACTCTCTCTACGTAAAATGTTTTCAGAAAACTCGTATTACAGTTAATGGTGGAAAATGAATAGTCTTCCTCTTAGGTTATAGTTTAACAGAAAGCATACAACAAATTCCACAAGCTAGATCAAGACAAGTGACAGGTGAACGTGCTGGTCAGTGGAAGACTAACAAAGCATCCCTTCTCCCCGCCCTGCCCCTCCCACTTCTGCCAGCACTGTGCATGCAAAGTCTTTAGCTTCTCCCCCTCTCTTGGAGTTGCTTGTTTGCAACTCTCCTTCTCGGACCCCTGTGAATAAACCTATAGTCATAGTGTAGCATGCGCATTCCAATAAAAGTGATGAAAACTAACTCTTTTGCAAAGCTGCTTTGCACACAATTTGTTTTGTTAAACAAAATAAGCTGCAAAGTCACAGAGAACAAATGCTCCCGAAAGATCAATAACACAGTTATTCTACAATAAAAAGCATTTCCTCATTGCACTTCTAGGCAATGTTATCTGCAATGTTTAATACTGCAGCATTCCAGTATTACCTTCTATATAAGTTATACTAGAAACATGTAGTCTGCAAGAGGTACATTCTGCCATGTCACTGCAGTTTCTGGAATAACGCTACATGGCAATTTAATGGCTAAACAACTTGAGTTCTTGAATTTTAATATTTCTGTTCTCTGTAGTGCACCATATCCATCTTGCTTGCATATGCAATTATCATGACAGCTAATGTTAGAGAGGACAGAATAATTATTCACATCAGTGAAATTTATTTCTCTACTGAAATTCTTATCTCTGCCCCTTTCTGATATCTTACTCCCACAATCTCTCTCTGCCTGACTTTCAACACAACTCAGTAATCTCTTTACAAATTTAATCTAGAAGACAACAATGGATACAATAGGATGGAAGGAAAGTAAAGGTCAAAGAGCTACATTAACATTTGAACTGGTACATATTTAAATAAGGGATCAATTAAATATTCTCTAAACATGTGAATCTTCTATTGAAGAGGTTATACATCACCAAGGGTGTGATTTGTAATAAACAGAATTATTTATGATACTAAGAATCAAAATTAAAAGTTTGTTCTTAGGTCTAATCTAGTTAATATTAGGTACTAATTACTTAGATACCTGAAGGACCAAAAACAGAATTCATTATACAGGCTGCATAACTGATATAGAACAAAAGAATAGAGTAATTTTGCTTCACCACTGTACAGAAAAAAATCCAAGTTAGAACCTCATTGAGGTACACTTTAACCCTATATTCTGTGAATCACATGAGAAACTAACTGGGCAGTTACTGAGTGCTAGGAAAATGGGTAGGTATTGGTTAATTAAGAAATCTTCTATGTGACTATCAGGAGTCATGGGACTCTTACCTTATTTTTCATCTTCGCACTCAGTCAGTCATGCCCCTGCCATTTCCCAGTTTCACTGGCTAAATATGGAACTGCCTGCACTTCCTGACAGTTCAAGGCACATAAGAGTTGCATTTAGTTCTTAGTAGGAAGGGGGAAAAAAATCACTTGCTTTCCTCTCTATTATTCATTTGTTATTCCAATATATAGATTTGTCATATTATGAGTTTCTCAGCTATGCCTCTTTATGGGAAGGTGTAACAAGTCTGTTATAAATGATCTGAATGTGAACAGGAGACAAACAAAACAGTTTTACAGTAAAGGTAACCTCCAAATATGTAGCTTTAGTGATGGTTCATTGCGTGCTGCAAGGGAACATTCATCACTGTCGTAAGAACAGCTCTCCTTTTAATCCTCTTCTGGCCCCAGCAAAGTGTGCAAATCAGCAAACTTGAAATGAAATGCAGATGGGTATTTCCATCATTTGCTAAACTGAAAATATAATGAGTACATTCTGTACTTTAATAAGGAATGAAAGCAGTGAACAACCCCAAATGAGTCATTTAAAGCAGCAGCAAGACGAGCTATTTCACACAGATGACAGTCTGAAAGGAGTCAAAGACTGAGAAAAAATTCTCTTTGGAAAAGCATTGGTTATGATGTCAAAAACATCCCAGTCAAAGTGCTGAGTAATAGGTGATCAAAGATTGGAACACTGCAGCTACAGTGTAAAGGCATTTGCTTATAAAAGAAACATGTTAGATTATCAAAGTATCTCCTGCAGTGTCACTAGGAAAGACTATTTTGAGGAGCCACTCAGCATTCACCAACTGTCCTTTCAACCTCCATTTTAAGTTGGCCATAATTTAAAATTCCCCAATGTGCACCCTAAATAACCTCTGGGATCTAACCTCATCCTTCTGTCAATACATCCCAACACGCCAGTTCTACGTTCCAATAGCTCTAGGTCTTTCAGACACAGCCTTCTTTCGTTCTTTATAGCTTGAATTTTTCCTTTTCAACTGTAGAGACAGCCACCATTTCATCAACACATTGTAGTGAACAGTGTTCCCAGTGACTTTGCAGTAGTTTTTCTTTTTTATTAAATAAAAGCTTTGCTGACACCATAGAATAGTAATGTTAGCAAAGCAACAACGTTCTCTTCCAGCAAGCAAGAAAATAGAGGTCAATTGGTCTTCCACGGCATCTTTAATAGATAAAACACAGCGGGTTGAAAACAGATATAACGCAGCATGCTCCATAACAGGAGACTCCATTAAAGTACACTACTGTCATGTACTCTGACAGACGATGGTTCTCTAGCAGCACACTTGTAAAGCTAAGATACTTTCTTAACTTCATATTTAGAGTGTATTCAATTTACTGATATACAGGGCATATAAATGACCCTCTTTAAGCCTTCATTAAAAAAAATAACAAAAATTAGCTGGGATATGACAAATCTTCATTTCAAAAGGCATAAAGAGATTTTAACCACTGAAGGCAATAAAAAACCCCATGGAAAATAAAAAATGAATATTTGTTGAGTTACAGAATCTGAATAGTACCAATAGAGAGAAGGAACTGGCAACATACCTATAGGCTGGGGAACGTCCTTCTCATCAACACACTGGCTGAAAGGGATCTTGGAGTCATTGTTGACTCCAGGATGGACATGAGCTACCAATGTGAGGAAGCTGTCAGTAAGGCTACCACACCTTGTCGCGTATCTACAGACGCATCACAAGCAGGTCCAGGGAGGTGATGCTTCCCCTCTACACAGCACTGGCCAGGCTGTAGTTGGAGTACTGTGTCCAGTTCTGGGCACCGCACTTCAAGAGGGATGTGGCTAACCTTGAGAGGGTCCAGAGGAGGGCCACTAGCATGGCCAGGGGGCAGCAGGCCAGGCCCTATGAAGATAGACTAAAGGGCCTGAATCTATTCAGCCTCCACAAGAGAAGACAGAGGGGATCTGGTGGCCATCTATAAACTCACCAGGGGGGACCAGCAGAAAATAGGTGAGGCTTTGTTCCCCCCAGGCACCACCTGCGATAACAAGGAATAATGGCCATAAATTGATTGAGAGTAGGTTAAGGCTCAATATCAGGAGGCATCACTTTACAGTTAGGGCTGCCAGGCTCTGGAATGGGCTCCCAAGGGAGGTGGTGCTCTCCCATATCTTGGACATCTTCAAGAGAAAGTTGGATAGATATCTGGCTGGGGTATTATGATCCAAGCACTCGTTCCTGCCCAGGGCAGGGGGTCAGACTTGATGATATGTTCAGGTCCCTTCCAACCCTAGAAACTATGAAACTATAATAATTCAGTATAGTGAAGCCCTACAGAATTGTACTTACCTTGTCGGATCCCATCTACACACTAGGATTTGTTTCCTAAACACCTCCCACTATTCTACAGCTCCACCTGTAACAGAGTTGGACGTTGTGACATAAAGACTATACTGACCCTGCCTAGCATCTGGCCAAGCAATGCTACATAATGATGCCTAAAATGCTGGTATCCACAGGAAGCCCCAGCCTGCATAAGTGCTTATGCCACAGCTAGCACCAGTGAGAAATTTTATGGAAATATTAACCTAAACACACACCAGTGAGAAATTTTATGGAAATATTAACCTAAACACAGTCTTGCTTTGGACCCAACCAAAATTGCAGGTGACAAGATTGTGCAAAAAAATCAATTTGTCAAGGATGAGGATGATATACTGCCTTGGATTGTGTCAGCTTTCCTTCATCAATAAAGACTAGTACTCAATACCAACCAAAAGAGAAGATTCTCCAGGTGTGAGAAGAATGGATGCTGAACTTACAATAGCTGTTTTAAGTCATTTCAGTTCTAGTACTTAACTTTCCTTACCTAATGATGTCCATGGCCTGATAAACAATTTCTGACTGGTCAACTCCAATCACTTTCTTCGCACCTGCTTTAGCAGCAAACATGGAGAGTATCCCAGTGCCACACCCAACATCCAAAACCACCTAAAACAAATAAAGTAACATTAGCTTATTTTCTTTCCTGCAAAAAGAGTTGTTCAATTTCCACAGCGGGGAAAACATCCCGCAAATCCATAGAGAAAAGGTAAAAATGCTACCACTCTCTAGCACAAGCTTGACACAGAAAAAAGCTCAAATAAGAATTCTTTACAATCATTTATTTACCAAAATTAATGGTTCTATTCTATATACTTCACCTGGAGAGAGGAGAAAATGTTATTTAAGTATGTAAAGTTCAAAGGGCAAATAAAAATGTTAAAATTTTAGTTTATAAACAATGCAGCTTAAACATTTGAATGGCATTTAAACAGCATTTAAAACATGATTACTTATAATTATCTACTTGCCACAGTGATTGTTCATAGTTGGAAATGCAGTTATGACAAGGACTTCCTTGCAAGTACCTTTTTGAATTTATTGATGGGTTTGTTGCGGTGGGAGGAGGGTGGGATTACCAATGTTGGCTGATCTTTTATTCAGGTGTCAGCAAACAATGGCTTGCAGGCCATATCTGGCTTGCGAAGAGACTTGATGTAGACCACGTTTTAGTAATGGCAGGCCTATCTCCTGCTGCCACCCAGCTATCTTATCTGACCCATGTTCTGCATTTTACTAATGGTGGGACCTAGTTTTCCCCCTATCTTTCCCTGCTCTGTGCAAAGGACTGCTCTCTCGCTCCCCAGCTGCAGCCTCGATTCACTGCTGCCACTGATTTATCTGTTCCAGATTGTTGCCTGCCATGCTTTTCGGTGGAGGCTGTCTTAGAGGGAGAGAGGTGAGAGATCCACCCTCTGCACAGAGAAGAGAAAGCTGGGGCAACAGCAAAGGATCACAAGCTGCAGCAGGCTATCAAAGGCTGTTGACTCCTGCTTTTATTGGTCCTATGTGAATCTACAGAAATAGCACCGTCTTCCCCGTTTCCTCAGTTTATGAAACTATTCCTCAAGTTATGAAAATACCATTTTAACTCCTTCTCCATGAATTCATGGTGCATCTTCCCTACTATGGGAAATGTTTCCGGCAGATACTTCTATACTGCAAGACTACAGAAGAAAGGGAGTTCCTTCATTATTGAGGATGGAAGAAAGAAACCCATTCTACCTAAACTTCTCTGTGCTAAAGTAGGGGAGGGGAGTAGAGACCAACAAATTAACAAAATTGTGACAACTTCCCCACCTTTGAGCTTCAGCAGAAAGATCATCTCAGAGCAGAGTATTATGGCTTCACTAAAGGAAGAAAGGAGCTGCATGTTTAATAAAGAATAGTTATGGCAAGGAGATCCTCACTCAAAAGATATTTTTGACGTCTCAGCTGTCAGTTGTTATTTTTTCGTAACACTGGCCACTTTGCTTCTATCCCATTCTGCTTTGTACAAGCCATATTGCTTCCTTTCATCTCTTTTGGCATAGCATTTATCATACAGCCACAATTTACATCAGGGATAGGAAACCCCCCTAGCACACATGCCAGAGCATGACACATGAAAGTATTTTGCTTACGTGTGCCATGAGGTGAATGGCGAGGGAGCTGTGAGAACCCGATCCCTGTTGTGGCAGTACAGATCCGGCCCCTTTCCTGCTATCCCCTTGAGGTGTGTGTGCAACTACTGCTAGTAACGAGTCAGGCCAGGGCTCTGTGCGCACCACTGCAGCTGCTTGTAGCCTCCCCAACACCTGCTTCAAGAAGCCTGGACTCCATGGCAGGCAGCACGGGCCGGCCCAGAGCCCAGGCTATGGATCCCAAGCAGCTGGGAGGCTGAAAATGGCTGCAATGGGGTCTAAAGAGCCCCAGCCTTGGGGCAGACAACAGGGAAGGGGCTAGGGCTGTGCTGCCACAACAAGGATCAGGCCCCCTCGTGGCTCCCTCACTGCCTGCCCCGGCATGCCAACATCTTAAAAGTCGAGGTTATGGGTGTTTTTGGCACTCTGCCCAAAAACATTGCCAATCCCTGGTTTACATCATTTTGGGCATATTATCTTTTGAAAGGATAGAGGACAAGTCTTCATTCTTTTTCTGATTTGCCAACAGCCCTCAACATCACTGGCTACAAACTTGCCCACAGTTGTGACAACTATTTCTAGCTAACCCTCTATTATTTGATGTATTTAACATCTTGCTGTTAGAATTTCTGCTCACAACATTTAAAGATGAGGAAAATTTTAATACCTCAAAACTACTTGACTGTTCAACGCTCCAGGAGCCTATGTGCATTCCAAACAGGATACACTCATTTATTCAAATTCATTGGTGGTATTCGTGAATTAGTATGTTCAGAACTGTGTGCAACAGAAATAAGAGTATGTCTCAGATAACTCTCCAAAAGTTGCCCAATAAAGAACAGTGACAACTGTATTGGGGTGCGCTGATAAAGATTTTCTTGGCCGGTACCAATAGTCGATTTACAGGAATGCAGCCAAGCAGTGTGGCTCCCTGCAAGGAAGTCTGTGGAGGGGGAGGGGGTGGTGGTGGGGGCAGATGGAGGTCCCTATGATGAGGGAAGGAGTGGGGCAGGGGCTGGGAGCGCTGCCCAGTCAGGATGGTGAATTGGACCTGGGGCCAGGGTGGGGAGCAGGCAGAACTGCAGAGCCTTAAAAAAAAAAAAAAAAAAAAAAAAAAAAAAAATCAGCATCCTGGTGCTTAAAAAATGGTGGCAGTGGCACTTGAACTTGAACTGAAGTTCATCAAATGAGCTTCAGTTCAAGTGCCACTGACGACATTAAGCGCCAGGACGCTTTTAACCAGAGCGGAGCTGAGCAGGGCGAGGGTAGATGTGGGCTGCCTGCTGTGGGTGTGGTGCTCTCTGCTCTGCGGCCTTTCCCTCGGGAATCCCACGCTAGCCATGCACCCTCTGCCCACCCAACAGTGGGAGGCACAACTCACTGTCCCCACCACTGCCAGGTGGGCAGGGGGACACATAGCCAGCATGGGGCTCATGACGGAAAGGCAGCAGAGCGGAGAGCCCCAAGCCCACAGCAAGCAGCCTGCATCCAGCTCTGTGCACAAGTCTGGAGGGGCACAGGCCCCTCCATGCCTCCTCTGGGGGGGTGCACAAAGCAGAGGGGAGCCACCACCCCCACCCCTCTGGACAACCTGCACCCTGTTCTGTCCTGCTCCCGGCCCTGGCCCTGGATCTCATTCACTGCCCTGGCTGGGCAGCACCCCCAGCACCTGCCCCACTCCCTCCCTCACCATGGGGATCTCAATCTGCACCCCGCAACACCCTTTCCCCTCCACAGACTTACCTGCAGGGCGCTGCTCTCCATGCTGCCCAGCTGCATTCCTGGCCACATGCATGCATGTGGGATGCACGTGGCATCTGGAGGCCCCAGATGACATTACTGGCTACACTAGCCAAAAAAAAGCCAATAGCCAATAATGTTAATTTTCCTTTTATCAGTGCTGATCTGATATGTAAACAATATATCAGTGCACCTCCAAATTGTACTGTGATAACACGTAGCAAATTAAGGAAACTATCATTATAAAAATGACCTGAAATAAAGTGAACTGAAAAAAAAAGAGTCTTAAGAATCACATTCTATTTCTGGAACGTCGTAGAGAAGACCTCCTTTGGGAAACATTAGTGTGAAAGAGAGAATGTGAAAACTACCCACTCTTGTCACTCTTCCAGCTATTCCAGTAGTCAGTTCTGTAGCCAAATCGTATGCTACTATCTTTTGCCACTGAAGTTCTAACAACTAAAAGCTACAACAGCCTCAGGCTAAAGTCTTCTGAAGAAGTCTTTTGGATACAGAAATGGACAGTAAAGGAGATGTTCTTACAATTGCTGAAATCTCCTGTTTTCCAGAATCATCCCACTGAAACATTTTACCTGTGGTAGTTAGCAAAACT